TATTTTAAATGCAATTCTAATTATTACCATCTGGTTTCCGATAAAAAAACCGCAATATAAATACAGACAGTGCTGGCAAAGTCGGCGCTACCTTGATTCTTTAGGGGCGGAGCTACATTGGAATTAGCGAAGAAATTCGAATATTAATACTAAATTATCAAAAAATTTTGGTGGCGTTATGAAGAAAAATTAGTTTCTGAAATTATTATAATTTAATTGTTATTTTTTTTTTAAAATAAATAAATGGGAATGCGTGCCCACTAGAGTAGTGTTTCCTGATTTCAAAGCAGAAAAAATCATGCATTATGCTCTAATATTAACCGAGATATATTGTTTGAAAGATTACATATAAAAATTCTTAGCGGTTGAACAGCCTTAATGTGCATGTTTTGCACATGCACTTCACCCCTCACGACAGCCGATTCTGACACACTCTGCAGCTGAGAAGATAAAATTAATGACATGGAAAAAAGTATTATAAGTATAACGTACCAACTTAAATATAGCATCTAATTTTACCTCCAACGAGGCAACTTTCTGCTCCAATNGCACTCACATGGTGGAGTCGCTATTTATGCTAGAGAAACAGTATCCCTCAGGCCCTTGTCGTTTGATATTGTGAGTTACTCAAGTAAGATGGATTTTGAGGTTGCTGGGATAAATTGTAATGACATACAAATTGTCACCGTATATCGCTCTCCTCAGGATACTTTTGACTCTTTTATGACGAGATTGCACATGGTATTGAGCAAACTAATGTTGAATAAGAATATTGTCCTAACCGGCGATTTTAATGTACATTTTCATAAAGTATGTAGAGAGGCGAAGATGCTCTGTTTCTTATGTAGATCTTATGGCTTGGTCAGGACAAATTATGAGAATACTAGAAACGATGCATGTTTGGACAACGTTTTCACAAATATTCACAAGTGTTTTTATCTGTCCAGTGTTGTTGATCCATACTTGTCCGACCACTTGGCTATTTGTTTTAAATGTATAGATCCGGTAAAGCCTTCAGTTGCAAAAAAAATAACAACCTATAGATCTGTTACAAAGCTTGGTCTATTTACTTTCTATAATAATGTTGCAGAAATAAACTTTGAATTTGTAGTGGAGATTAGTGATTAGTGACGTTGTAATGGAGATTAGTGACAAATTTTCCATGTTTATACAAGAAATCACAGCNGTGATACCGCCATTAAAGCAAGAGAGTCGTCGGATTTATCGGACTCGTTCTCGGTAACCACTTTCGACTGTGTCATTTCAACCTTCGACGGGGTCGCTGGTTCAACTGACACATACTTGCGTTGGCTACGTCGCGAACGAGCACGTGCCTCCCTTCTTTCTTGTCTTTCCTCTCTATACTTTTCTGACGGTACCCACACACCTGCAGCCTTCTTCCAATGTTCACGGTTCCCCGAATTCCGACGAAGTGAAAGGCGTTTCACATTTTTATCGTCGACATTCGCGGAACCTGCGACGTTCAGAAGCGACGGATCTTGCTACGCATTAGAGTCCACGTTAGGATCCATCGGCTGCTCATTAGGCTGCACGTTTGGATCCAGCGCCTTCTCAACAGTCGATATGTTCAACAGGTTTATGTTAAAACTGTTTAACAGGAATAACTCCTTTCTGCTGGCGAAACCGGGAGCAGTTAAATCAATTTGACTAAAACTGTCTTGAGACATCTTGATAAAAAAAGATTCATACATTAATTTATTTTATTTTAATAAAAAATCATGTATACTTACATCTTTTGATGAAAAGAACGTTAAAATCTAATTGCAGTGGGTGCTGAATGATAGGATGTGAATGATAAAAAATTATTGTAGATATTATGATATTATGTTCGAATAATAAAGTTATGCTTACCAACAAAAATTAAGATTTAAAATAGAAGGAGCTATAGGAATGAAAAAAACAGATTAGCAACAATATATGCAAAGGAAAAGAAGGCTATACTTACCAGAAAAAAGTCGCCGAGATAACGAAGTTTTCAAAACTGATCGAACTGATCAAACAAAAAATGGAAGTGATCAGTAGTAAGGTCCTGTAGGAATTGAAAAAATAAAAATAACAATTTAACAACAAACAAATAAACAAGTTGTACTCACAAAAACAAAGTAGAAAGAGTTATGATGAAACAAAACAAGAATATTTTACATATTATATAAGCCAAGTAAAAAAGGTTACTTACCAAATAAAACACGTCAGCAAAAAAGAGAAAGCTGAAGGATATCTAGGACTGGGAAAAAAATAATTTTAAAAATTATATAAACATGCAAAACAAATATAGTTTTACTAACCAAAAAAAGAGAAAGTTGTAGAAAGAGCCTGTAGTGATGGAGAGAAAATGAACGTTATATAAACATGAAAGTAAAGAAGGTACTTACCAAAAAAACTGAAGAACACAAACACTGAAGTGACTTTCAAAGGCTGGGAGGTGCCGTCTTATAGTAAAGTAATGAAGGGGGCGTGGGGTGGGGCGTGGAAAGGGGGAGGAGTGGGGAATGGGCGGAGTTAGAGTGGGGGCACTTTTTTTCTGGGTCAACTTTCCCTGGGAATTTTAGA